CAAAACCCCCCCCCCCCCCCCCCCCCCCCGCTAAATTCTGTTTCTTGTTTCCAGCTATTTGATACGACTGGGCCATCAAAATTTGTCCTTAAGAACCTCAGATACTACACAACCCATCCAAATATGGTAGGTGGAAAAGCGTGCCCCAAGACCTCTAAGGATGAATTTCAGCAATGGGTCCAGAGCTCCAACTACAGAGCACCCCTAATACCACCAAGTATTCCCCAGTTTCCAGGATGGGGAACCAGGGTTTGGTTGTGAGGTGGGAGGAGAGACTCAGGGAGAAAGTGGTCCCAGCTCCTTTAATTCTTCAGTAGAGAAAACATAATCAGGAAAATATGTAATCCATGCTTCCCCCCTCCCTTCCTCTCTAGTCTTCCTATTCAGAGAAAAAGCAAGCTCCCTGGCGACTGCCCCTTCCCCACCCACACCTTCGGTGACTCAGTGTGCTTCGTGACTGTCTTTCCCTTTTAACCGTGCTACAGCTAGTTAGTAATGCCTGTGCCTGGGGAGAGAGGTTGCTGGAAATGAGAGAAAGCTGAGCTGAGCTTCTGGGGTTTTCTCTCTGCCTCAGAGACAGGTAGAGAAAGGCCAATCAGGCCGAGCCACAAACAACTTCTATTTGTGCCACTAGGGATAGATGCTATCTTTTTTTTTTTTTTTTTTTTTTTTCTTTTTGTGACTTTAATCATCTTGTTCTGTTACTATGGAAACCCTTCCGGTGCATTTCCCCAGGCCCCTAGTTTATTTGCAGCTCTAAGAGAAGGCTGTGACAGAGAGCTTCCAAAAGTTTGAAATCAACAAATGTAAAGGCAGGTTTACTCAGGCCCTGCTCATCCTCTCAACCTACCTACCCTGCAGAGGGGGATAAATTGGTCAACTGATTTCCTTAGCCCTCCCTTGACCTAATCCCTTTGTCTTTCTGGAAACCTTTCTCTCTACTTAGGCCAAATACTATGAGCCTTTGAAGCCCAGTAAACTGCAAAGATTCCTGACCCAAAGGAAGAAAATGAATAGTTTTATGATAAAGGTGGCAGAGTATGATCAGGATATGACCTTACTGCTCATGACCAACAACCCACCTCCCTGCTCCGTCAGCCTGCAGGAAGATGATGGCTCGCCAAAATACTTTCCCCCGGACTTTCAGTTCAAGGTAATGGTGCCCAAGCCAGTCTCCTGGGAGCCTATGCATGGATGGACCAGAGGGAGGCAGGGAATAGAGTAAACACGGAGAAAGCCAACTGAACCTAGAGCAGGGTGACCAAGATGCTATCTACCTCCTTCTCATGCCTGGTCATATATTCCATGAAATCAGAATAGCTGTGAGCTTAAAGTCTTCATGGGCTACAAAGAAAGACCCTGTTGTCTCAAAACAAAACAACACATAAAAAATAATTGCTGAACATATTCAGTAAACTAAAAACTGGGACAAGACTATGAAGATGATCCTAGAACATATTCTATCTTGAAGAATCTTGGAATCCAATAGGTTGAAAAATGATGCATATTAAAATAATTCTGACCAGGGTATGTGAATCACCCAAGAATACTTAAGATATAGAAATTATATAGACTAGAGAAGAAGCTCCTTTTTGGGTAAGAGGGGATGATCACGGAGGTGACTTCACTGCAAAAGAATAGGAGAAGTCTTGGAGACTTAAGAAAGGGAAGCACTCTCATGGAGCTATAAAAGAGAAAGTGGCAGGAGATCAAAGCGTGTAAATCAAATTTGTGTTTTAGGAAGAGCATTTGCAGGTTGAAGAAAGGTACATTAGTTACAGAGGAGACAGACAGACAGACAGATTAGTTATATTACTTTAATGGTCGAGATAGGCAATACTGAAAATTTGAGCGAAATTCAAAATAGCAGAGGAAGTGAGAAAAATTGATTTAAGAGCTATTTGGGAGCAGGAGCTAAGAAAGTCCTTGACAGCCTGGAGTCGGGGGCCCCCGATCTAATAGGAAGAAATTAAGTGAAAGTACAAACAGAAGACTCTAACCGAGATTAGAGTCTGGGAGTAGGATAGCCCAAAGACTTCTCTTTATAGCAAAGTATGAGTTGGAAGTTAGTACTTCTGTAGTGACTACATGGGTGGTACTGAGAGATGCCAAACCGCAGTGGCATATACTGAAATAGAGCTCATGAATTCATCGCCTGTGGCCCCCTGGGCCTCAGAATTTGTGCCCTTTGACAGTAACTTCAGTGTTTATTGTGATATTGGGTGTAACGTGTTTCTGAGAAAGAAACAATCTTGGGAGAGAACTGCTGTCCTTAACACAGAGAAGAGAACAGGGCAAACATGCAACCTGAGTGCAGGAAGAGCTTTCTTTCCAAAGCTGTCCCTCGTGGGTCCCGGAGGTCAAGTGCAGGACCTGAGAGTCCTCATGAGCAACAGTACTAGTGGAATTGTATTAGTGGACAATGTCAAGCCTCTGAGTCTAAGGACTAGAAAGCATTCAATCTACAATGGCCCCTTACTATTCCTGCTGCAGCCCCCACCCCCCCATCCCCACCCCGCTCATTTGGTCCTAGGATGTCATGCAAAACAGGTATTCTTTACTGTGCCCAGGCACAGCGGAGATTCCAGTGAGCAGGCTGATGAAAGGACACATCAAAGATTGTAGCTCTTAGTCCCTTCTAAGTGACTCTGTCCCTAGCACTGTCTCCTGTGAGAATGCCTAAGTAACTTTGTTTTACACAATATAACCCTATCTCTACTCATAGTATGGACCAGGTGTAGATACAAGACCTTGTGAAACAAAATTCCTAGGCTGGTAACTGACCTGAGGTGCAGGCTGGTACCTCCAAACCCAAAGAAACCAAAACTAAACCAGCCAACATACTAACCACCAAATCCCTGAGTAAATCACAGATTTTCATTTCTAAGCACCTGAATTAGAAAATGAAAATATTAAGGCAATGGGAATGAAAATTGAACGGGCACATAGAGAGATGCCATCAGAGAATCAAAACATGGGGAAGAAGGGTAGTTCATGGGTCAGGAGTGTACGTGGTTGTAATTACAGAGAAGGAAGGAACAGGAGTCAGGGAGAGAGATAGATAAATAGATAGATCTATTGTATCCCTTGTATCTATCTCTCCATGTGTATATATGTAGGTTACAAAAGGGCTATAGAAGTTTCAGGGTTTGAGAAGAGGGAGGGAGGGAGGGAAAGAGGAAGAGACAGTCAGGAATAGAGAAGGGACTTATTAATATGTCATGGTTAAGACAACTGGTAACTGTCCACTAGTGCCATCTTGGATCCCAAATAACTTTCAGTTCTTTCTTATTTTATTTGCATTTAAACTTTTATAGAGAAAAGAAAAAAGCTTTTATTTTTGAGAGGCAAGGGAGTGACATGGAGGTCAGAGGACAACCTGCCAGAGTAGGTTCTCTCTTTCCATCCTGTAATTGTGGGGATGGAAATCAAACCACCAGGCTTGGCAATATGCTCCTTTATCTACCTTTACCATTGAGCTGCCTCACCACCCTTAGTTATTTCTCCTTTTTGCTCTGAGGTCCAGTTCCTCCAAGGTTCTGCTGTTTTTAATGGCAGGGTCATTAGCTATGTCTTAGTTCCTAGGTTCTGCTGTTTCATTGCCACCTACTAACTTGCAGAGAGTCCTGTGTCTTTGACCTGGACCAGCTTAAAGAGAAGGGGTTCAGAACAAAAAAGGAATAGTTCAGTGGCAACTCCAAGTATTTTTAAAAAGATTTTAAAATTATGAAACTAAGAGCTCAATATGTCGATTGATAGCTCCGTCTCTCCTATTATGTGCCAGACCCTATGAAGGCTAACAAACTCCGGGTGTATTGCAACTAAAGTCTTGGCTGAATGACATCTATGCAGACTACAGGCAAAGAAGCAACCAGGCAGATCACATATAAAGTGACAGGTGCTTTGAAAATGAGGAAAAGGAGATGGGGTGTGAGTGGGAGTTTTAGATAGTGTGATTCAGACAGGTTCTCTGGAGAGGTTGCGACTATTCAATAGATGTTAAGGGCTGGGGAAATAGCATGTGATTGCTGCTCCCGGCATATGGTCTCCTTTGCATAGCCTCACAGTAGGCAGACTTTGATCGAGACTTTCTCAGGAGATAAATCAGGAGAATAAGGCAATTCAAACCAAGGCAGGTGATGAACAGTTCAAATAGTTGATGATTTTTATCTAGGGAGAAACAGAGCCTAGCAGGAATGTGATAGATATCACCAACATTTTTGAGCACACTATACAAGAGGTACTGAATTCATTCTGTTTGGACTATTTTGGAGAGAGCTACAAGGAGATGGATATTGGTTGATTGAAGAGAAAGCTTATTATTAGAATCACTGCCACGACGATTAGTCTCTCTGTGTGTGTGTGTGTGTGTGTGTGTGTATGTGTGTGTGTGTGTGTGTGTGTGTATGTTACATGGGAAGGAGGCTGAACAGGCATGCATATATTAGATCATATGTGGAAATCAGAAGACAACTCTGGAATTAATTCTAGGGTTGGAGCTCAGGTCTCCAGGCTTGGACAGCAAGTGACTTCACCTGCTGAGACAGTTTGCCAACCTTGTGTGTTGTTTCCCCCCTCCTCTCTTTTTTGATATAGGACAACAGGATCACTTGACAGGGAGATTACAGATGAGATATGAGTGTCTGAAAGCTTTTGACTATGTGACCTTTAGGAATGGTAAAATTATTACCTCATAAGACCTTTCATTCTACAGCCTTTCCACAGCTGAGAAAAGAATGTAGTAGATAAGGCAGCTATCTCCAAGGAAGGAAGGTAGTGTTCCATGGGTCTGTTCCCCAATTTATTGTCAAATATTTGGTCTCCCAAGCAATTCACTGACTGGGTCTAAGTGTACTATGTCTGAGACAGAGACAGGCACATCTGTGTCTTTACCCAATGTCAGAATTCATTGAATTACAATAAACTCACAAGCGACTTTGCTTTCTTTGGTTGGCTGCAATTTGCCAAGCAGTCCTGATTTCCCTTGATAGCTGGCTGCTGGCAAACACAGATCTTTTATTACAATCTTAACTACTAATAAAAAAAAACCCTGTCAATTTTGTACACATTACATGTCACAGTGAATCTGTCTATGCCTCTATCCATCTGTAAATATGAAGGTTTCAGAATGGCTAGAAAAGGGGTTATAGAGGCTGCAGAGTTTAAGAAGTTTAAAGAGACCATACCAGAGGCAGAGGCAGAGGCAGAGGCAGAGGCAGAGGCAGAGGCAGAGGCGAGAGGAGGGCTAGTACAGATGCAAAAGATAAGATTCACAATCCATTTGGGGAAGCACCCAGTTAGAAAGCTTCCGGAAGCATAGAGCAGTGTTGCAGAGACACAGGACCGTGGAGATGGGGTGCAGCATGGGTGAAGGAAAGGGTGGACAGGCCTTGCCAAGTGGTGGAGACAAAGCTGAGCTGACTCTCTCAACCTGTCAGTCCATCCCTTGGCACACACACTGGTCACATGACAGGTCTCTGGGGCTGCCACCATAACAGTGCTAGGTGTCTTCCTCTCTATGTAGTCCAGGAGAGAGCCACTAGTCTGGTGTGTCCAGTAAGGCCTCAGGTTTTTCCTATATGGTTTTACCTTTCAGGTTTAAGTCTGCATCAGGGTTGGTTCTGAAAGGGAGATGGTTTCTTCCTTTTTTTTTTTTTTTTAAAGATTTTATTTATTTATTTATTATGTATACAACATTCTGCTTCCATGTATATCTGCACACCAGAAGAGGGCACCAGATCTCATAATGGGTGGTTGTGAGCCACTATGTGGTTGCTGGGAATTGAACTCAGGACCTCGGGAAGAGCAGTCGGTGCTCTTAACCTCTGAGCCATCTCTCCAGCCCGGGAGATGGTTTCTATGTGTGCTACAAAAAACAGATTCCTCCTCCACTGCATTTACGCTCAAAATGAAGACAAATACTCCTTTGTTAAGTGGGACCAGCTAGAAAGTCACTGTTTTACACAGTATGGAGTAACTCAGGGCAGGGCACAGCCTGACTGCCACAAACGCTTCCGCCTAACCCAGGAACTTACTCTGCCATTCATTTTCAGGAGCCCATGACTTAAGAGTTTTGGGAAAGTTGCCTGACAAGGAATCTCATCTTTTCCCACTCCTCTCGCTGTGGTTTTTGAGTTCCTGCTTTTCCCTCTGATAGATGGGTTGTATTATTTTAACATATTCCACTGTGATTTAGTCCAGGAGCTCAGCTCAGTTTGTAAACTTCTAGGGATTCAGTTTCCTTCCTCCTGTACTTTTTTTTTTTTTCCTCTCAGGAAACTCAACTTCAGCCCAAACCCACCAAGAACTTCTTCCTTCCCACAATGCCTCAGAAAAAGAAGTTAAGACCAGATCTGAAGACAGTCTTCCCTATGAAATGGATAGGTGATCCTCCATCCAAGGGACAACAGTGGTTTAGGTGAAGTGTTAGCTCTTATCGGGCTTCCTTTTTTTCTCTCATCTTCCCCTTGTGCCAATTGCTGCTGTTTCATTTAGCAAACACAAATGGAAACCCAAGGAGATTTAGGATAAGGTCAACTGGAAGAAGATGTCCCAGAGAAGCTGCCTCATGTTGTTTTGCTTGTATAGAAGATGTCAAAACACAAGACACTCTTTGTGTTTCAATACATAGGTGTTGTCTTCAGCAATAGGGCCTCACCATCAGGTAGCAGAGACACAGAAGGACTAAGGAGGCAGGTTCAAGACAGAAGGGTCCCAGCACTGAGGGGTGGATCCTACCCTTAACCAAGAAACTCTCTGCAATTAATACCCCCTGGCAAAGGGAAAGTTGGTTTTCGATAGCGGTGTCTCACTAGGTACATTAAACACATTTCAGGGCAGGCCTCAACAAAACAAAGCAAACTCAATGGTATTTTTTGTGGACTTTTAATTTAATTGTTCTATGTTTTGGCAATTTGATTTGTCTTTTGCTTATTTGTTTGGATTTTCATTTTTTATGGGTTTTGTGTTTCTTATTTTTTTAGTTCTTTTTGTTGGTTTTTCTTTGGGGGGGGGTTGAGACAGAGTTTCTCTGTAGCTTTGAAACTCAATCTGTGGACCAGGATGGCCTTGAACTCACAGAGATTTGCCTGCCCCTACCTCCTGAGTACTGGGATTAAAGGTATGCACCACCACTGCCTGGCCTTTAATTCTTTTTTGGAGAAAGAAAGAACAGAAATTTGGATGAATAAGATCTGGGAGGAGCTTGGGGAGGGGAAATCATGATCAAAATTTTTTGTATGAAAAACATTTTTTCAATAAAAAAACAAAACAAAACAGGGAACATGCCTCTAATCCCAGCACTCAGTGGTAAAGGCAGGCAGATCTCTGTGAGTTTGAGGCCAGCCTGTTTTAGAGTAATTTCCAGGACAGCCAGGGCTACACAGAGAAAGAAACCTTGTCTTGAAAGACAAAACAGCAACAAAAAAAAGGCAATATGATCTATGACATCACTTATATACTAATGAAAGAAACACAACAATGCAAAACTAAAGTTCTCCACTGACAATAATTTCAAGAATGAAGGAAAACGTATTCATAAGGTCTGTATTTGGAGGAGACAGCAAAATAAAAGTGTAAGTTAAAGACTAGAGGAACAAATGCTATGAGGACACAAAGTAAAAGGATGTCTTGAAGGCTGGGGAGTTGGCTCAGTCAAGTGATCACTGCACTCATTTGAGGACCCAAGTTTAATGTCTAGCACCCATGTTAAAAAGCCAGGCTGTGGTGCAAACCTGTAATGCCAACACTGGGAGGTAGAGACAGGAAGATCGCTGGAGCCTCCTGGCCAGACAGTCAAGCAAACTCCAGGTTCAATGAGAGCCCCTGTCTCAAATCATGAGAGTTATTGAGAAAGACACCCAAAACATGTCTCTGGCCTCCACATTTACCTGCACAAATATGCACTTGTATGCACAGATGGTAAGCACATGCATGAACAATTTTTCAAACGAACATAAAATGCTTTATTTGAAACTATTCATTGTAACGATAAGTCTTTCTGCCAGCTGCCCGAGTTCTGCCCACTGCCACGTTAAGGTCCCATGTTTTATCATGATCTCCATGGTATGGATATCGCCCCCAACCAGCAGGAAGCAGTTTGGAATGAAGGACGACCAAATTCCCAAATATTGTTTATAAATGTTTGTTTTCATTTAAATGGGGTTGGTTATAAATGATAATGGTCACAGTCAATCTCTTTTTAAAGGAAAACAGGGGAATAGGATATAGAAATGAATACTTTACATTGGTATGGATTTTCATTTATTGATTTAACTTTAAGGTCAATTTTGTGATATGTATATTTCTCCTCTTGTTTAGGTATTGTGTTTATACAGACAAATCTTTTAAAATGTAATCCATAATTAAGTACAGATTATATAGTCACCTATAATAGTCATAACTTATAAGTAGTTTAGTTAGGTTTTCTAGATATACAGAGATGTATTTGAGATAGATATTCTTCAAACCTTTCAAAGACCTACAGAACATATGGCATTTAAGTGGTTTAGGGTTTTTCTTGGCAGTGATACACAACTTCTCCTGGCACACCAATTACGTCAGAAAGGAAGATGGGCATCAAAGAAACGCGTTATGGAGTTTGCTTTCAACATGGCAAGATTAGCCATTTGGGCAAGAAACTGCTCTTGCCTGGACTGTTTGTTGCTGTATAAACTGGACATGCAGGACCCACAGGAAAGTGACTGCTGAACTTACAAAACAAAATGAACAGTCCCGAAGGGTTCCTGCTTCATGGAGAAGTGTGCCAGACACACTGTGGCCTATAGGCTGAAGATGGATGCTCCAACGTAACAGAGGAACTTTGGATGACTGTCCAGGTAGTGAGATGTCTCTGTAATTCTGGAGTTTATATATTTATTATCCTTCTGTGGTCTTTGATGGAGTTGAAGACAGATAGTTATAGTTATAGTTTTCTTCAGTTATTATAAAAGATAAGCTACATATAAGACTTTAGACTCACAAAGATAGATAATAGAATGTTTTCTTTAAAATCTTGCTAAATGTAAATGAACAAAATATCGTAACTATGGTTCTTACTTGATAACTGTTTTGTTATGTATTTTACTACGTTAATTTTAAAACCCTTCTTTTTGTTAATTTTGTTAATTTTAAAACCCTTCTTTTTGTTTAGACAGGAGATGATGGGGGAGGTCCTTCTTGTATGTTTGTCTTATTGGTTGATAAATAAAGTGCTGTTGGCCAATAGGAAAGCAAGATAGGCGGGGCTAGGAGTCTAGGAGGATTCTGGAAAATGTAGTAAGGGGGGTTGCCATGTGGTCCCCAGGAAGACAGGATGCATTCTGCCGGCATCCTCCATAAGTCTTTATAAAATATATAGATTAATAATTATGGTTGATACTTAAGACAGAGATAGCAGATAAGAAATCCTAGTCATTGGCCAGCAGCATTGTAATCAACATAAGAGTCTGTGTGTTATTTCGGGCATCTACGTGGCAGCGGGTCTAGGGTGGCTTGGCGGAAAATTTATCATTACAATTCAAAGGAGGATTTTATCTAATATTGAGAAGACAGGGGATTCTGGAATCAGCTGAAAGGTTTGAAGCATGGCCAGTATCTCAATCCCTCCATTTTTTTTTTTAAACCAACCACCCCAACCCTCTGGCTATTTTCCTTTCTTCCTTGGGATCTCCGGTGATGTAGCTGACTTTTAGGTGGCTAGCCATTAATTCACAGTCCTATATCAACCAAGTACACTTTTGTTGGTTAAGGTTTTCCACTGACAATGATTTCAAGACTGAAGGGAAGTACTCTGAAGTCTATGCTTTGAGGAAACAGAGAAAAATGTATCCTAACCTCATCTTTGCTCCAGCCTCCCAGAGAGAGGCAAAGAAAGACGGTAAGTTCTCCTCTCTCCAACTGTGCTTTGCTAAACTGAGATGTGGGCTAGAGTGAGAATCCACTGGGCTTAGAGACTTGCTTGAGCTGGCATCTTTTGTCATGGGTCCAAACACTACTTTTCCTTATAGAAGGAAAGTTAAGATGGTGCTAGACTATTTTGATACTCACATTTCTAGAAAGTTCAAGAAGGTAAGAGAGTTCCCTGGACTATATCAATCTACCATTTTCATAGTTTTTGCAATAATGATGCATTTTAAAGTAAAAAAAAAACTCTTAAACTAAATAGTATAATTGTTGATAACCTGGATTTGACATTTGGCTACATGTAGTTTAAAATGTATATTTGTGTACAACCTAAAACCTCCCAGATACGTGCACATCATACTTTCTGGAAACCTGCTGTAAAGGACCAAAGGCTAAGTATGTGTGTCACAAGCCTGATGTTCACGTCTTTAACCCTAGCACTTGAGAGACAGAGACAGGCAGATCTCATGAGTTTGAGGTCAACCTGGTCTACATAGTGAGTTCCAGAACAGCTAGAGCTACATAGTGAGACCTTGTCTTGAAACAACAAAAAGTATGTGTGTCTCAGAGGCCAGCAGGTCTCTTTGAGACAGAGGTAAGAATAGGGTTGAAGGGTGTTGGGACAAGGATTTACAGAAGGCATAGTAAGAATGCTCATACATTGTCTCTCATTTGATAACACTCATGGGGGCGGGTGTTCTGTGTTAGGCTCTTACTAAACACCAAAGGTAAAGACAGTCTAGACCACGAAGGGCCTTGTATATTATATAAATATGCAATATGTGCTTGGATTTTCTCCATTATGTAGTTGGGCCCCACTGAAGGGTTTCGGGGTGTCAAACACATAACTGTATATTAGACATGCAATTGATGAGCCTCTAGACTTCACCAGTCACAGCTTTAGCATAAGGCAATCATTATTTTCTTTTAGAGATATAGGTTATATTATACCACCCTTTCCTAGCCTCCTTCCATCGTCTCTGTCTCCTCCTATACTCATTTGCCCCTCCTTCCATTCTATCCCTACCTATGCTTCTCCCCAATTCCCCATATACAACTGAAACCAATCTGTAGTGAGGGGGAAAAATGGATCAATGTATGAAAAAGCTGAAGAAGCACAGTGATCCATCTTGTTTAAAAGAGCCCAGCCTCACCCCACCCTCAGTTTCTTTACTCTTCCACAGGCCTCCTTTACATTACCTGTTCTTGAAAATTGCCAGGTTTCATGACCCTGTCCCTACCTAACTCCCAATAACTATGGTCCAAGGGAGAAGAGGGTCTCTATAGCAGGTCTCTCTTGTCAGACTTTCTTTGGACTCCCCCCAAATAATGACACAGAGACTTATTATTAATTATAAAAGATTCGACTTAGCCTAGGCTTGTTCCCAACTAGCTCTTATAACTTAAATTATCCGGTTTATATTAACATATATTCCGCCACAGGGCTCATTACCTCTCTTCATACTGTACATCCAACCACCTCCACATCTTGTTGGCTTCATCCCCCAGCATGCAGAAGACTCTTTCCAAGTTTTTTCTCTCCTCTGAAGTCATCCTTTTCTTCTCCTGTCTGGCTATTGTCCATTCAGCTCTTTATTAAACCAATCAGAAGATGCCTTGGCAGAGACACATCTTCACAGTGTACAAAAGATGATCCCATAACTGGTCTCTCCTTCTCCAAAGCCTGTTTGTTTTCAGCCCCAGAATATAGATGAGGAAGCATGTTTCTTCCACAAGAGACTCCACATGATGAGCATGGGTTAGAATTTATAAGCCAAATGAGGCAGTTACAATCATTAGCGTAGTCCTCAAAAATTTAAGTTAGATTTATTTATTTTATTTGATGTATGAGTGTTTTGCCCTATATGCTGTGTACTTCATGTGTGGTTGGTTGCCCACAGAGATCAGAAGAGTGGGCATCAGATCCTCTGAAACTAGAGTTACTGATAGCTGTGAACTATCATGTGGGTGCTGAATTGAACCCCAGGTCCTCTGCAAGGGCAACGAGTTCTCTTAAGCACTGAGCCATCTCTCCAGCCCCTAGCATAGTACTTTTAATCAGAATGGAGCAAAGTCTTAAGTAATACCATTATTAAGGATTAGACACATTATTCAGCTTAAATCTGTGTCTGGTGGGAAATTTTTCTTTTGGTTTTTCGAGACAAGGTTTCTCTGTGTATCCCTGGCTATCCTGGAAACACTCTAGACCAGGCTGGCCTCAAACTCAGAAATCTCCCTGCCTCTGCCTCCTAGTGCTGGGGATTTAAGGCATGAGCCAACCATGCCTTAAATTTTTCTTTACTATTTGCAATATAACCTTGGTAAGACTTTGTAATTTTGCAAGAGCCCTGTCTGTAACAGGATGACCTAGGTATACAGGCATAAAGTAGCATATCAGTCTGCAGCCTCTAATGATATTAGTGACATTAATGATGACCTCTCCAAACCTGAGTTGTTAGTTTACTGTGTACCTAAATGGCCAGTTATGGTGCATTTCCTCAACAGTGATGTGTTTCTGGAGAGATCTGGGTAGAAGTTTTGTAGGCTCGTTAGGAATTTGCCCAAGAGGCAAACCACACCCTGAACCCAGGACAGTAGTTAAGATCCTTCATCAATAGACAACGCCCTAAGAACAGGTGGAACCGGAAAGACCATCTAGAATATGATGCCATCCATGACAAAGGTAGAAAAATTGTGTTATTCATACTTCGAGACGGGGCCGAGAATGAGAGAACATTTTGGGAAAGCACCGGGGCACGTGAGAGAGAGAGTGTGTGTGTCCCTTAAATTACTTCAGCGTTAACCAGTATGGCTGAAGATTGAATCATTTGAAGACCAAATTGGCAGTGGGTTTTGGTGACGAAGGAATCCAGAATCCAAAGAGGTCAAGAATGGCAGTCCCAGAATGCACCCTCTTGGTAAGAGTTAGTCTGGTCCCACCAAACGGATCGCATCACACCTTCCTTTAATTATCCCTCTAGTCCTTTCGGAGATGCACATTCAATGCGTTCTATGCTTTGTCGTAGTTTCCAAGAAGTCAGAGGATGCGACACCAACTTCGTCCATGCTTTTGGAACCACTGACATTTTTAAAGCTTCTGGAGGAGAAGCCTACCAGAACTGTGCCAGGGGAGAACGTCTTTCGCTATGGAAGAGCTCAGCAGTGGGTTATCCAAAATGCCACCGTCATTAAGTGAAGACAAATCCTTCACCCCTTCCTGGCTCTCCAAGAACTGAGGAGGCCTGGAGAAGTCACCAACTAACCAAATAAAGTTCCACACTTGCTGCCTCAGACCCGAGTTGCAGAACCTGGGACGAGGGGCGGGGCACGCCTGCGGGCAGGGTCTGGCCCTGGCCCCGCCCCCGTGCGACAGTGGGCGGAGCAGAGGGCGTGCCTGCGTCCCTAGGGGGCGAGGGCGGCCATGGACGCCCGAGGGGGGCGGGCCTTGGCCCCGAGTGACGGCCCGCTGGCCCAGCCAGTGTGAGGACAC